ATGATGAGAGAGAATCATTGATAGGCTGCCTCCTGCACGTCCCCTGGGGACCGAGCCCACAACCCGGGCATGTGCCCTTGACTGGAATTGAACCCGGGACCCTTCAGTCCACAGGCTGATGCTCTATCCACTGAGCCACACCAGCCAGGGCTATTTTTAAATCCATGAGGCACCATTTCAAATTTGCACGCTTCACAGTTACATGAAATGTGACCGCCCCACGTCTCATTTATGAATGAAAATAACCTTATACATATGAACCGATGTTTCCATTTCCTGCTCCCTGACTCACCGGCGACCATTCTCCCTCTCCCAGGTGCCATCGGGCTTCTCGGCTCCCCTGGACGAGCTGCCCGCGGTCCCCCACATGGCGTGCTGCACGCTGGAGCACCTGTACCTCCTGATGGGGAGGGAGCTGCAGGACCTGGAGGAGGTGCCGCCAGGAAACGTGCTCGGTAGGTGCTGCTGGGCGTCCGCGTCTCCCGAGAGGCCCCCTGACACCCACTCACTCGGCGGAGTCTTTGAAGGAGAGATCGGCTCTTTTCCTGCTGTCTTAGACTTTGCGTAGTGAATCTGAGTCATTAGCGTGTCGGTCAGTACCTTGGTGTGACTTATGGCCGTTCTTTTTGTTGTTGTTAATCCTCCCCCGAGGATATTTTCCCATTGATTTTTAGAGAGAGTGGAAGAGAGACAGAGAGAAACAGAGAGACACATCGATGTGAGAGAGACACATCGGTGGGTTGCCTCCTGCACGAGCCCCGACCAGGGCCCACGGAGGAGCCTGCCACCGAGGCATGTGCCCTTGACCGGAATCGAACCCGGGACCCTTGAGTCCGCAGGCCGACGCTCTATCCATTGAACCGCACTGGCCAGGGCTGGGGTAGTTCTTTCAAAAAAAAAAAGTAGGTGCTGCTCACGTCATCTGTGAACGCTCTGAGCTGGGGCTCTTCTGTCTGCGAGCAGCAGAGTTCCTGGAGGAGCCTGCCACCGAGGCATGTGCCCTTGACCAGAATCGAACCCGGGGCCCTTGAGTCCGCAGGCCGACGCTCTATCCATTGAACCGCACTGGCCAGGGCTGGGGTAGTTCTTTCAAAAAAAAAAAGTAGGTGCTGCTCACGTCATCTGTGAACGCTCTGAGCTGGGGCTCTTCTGTCTGCGAGCAGCAGAGTTCCTGCTCACGGCCCTTCCCGTTCTGAGTTCCGGGGAACTGTTCGGGCTGAGTGTCTTGGAGACGGATCTGCTCCGTCATTGGGAGAGTTCCCTTCCTGGTGTTCGTCCGGGCGACCAGGACGTTTTTAATTTGGCTCCTCGTTTGGCGGGTGACCGGTCCGAGTGGCTCCGTCAGCACATCTGGAGCTCGTTACCCGCCTCACAGCCAGAAGCGCCTTTTCAGGCCCATTTCACTGCAGCGTCGTAAAAAGCCGGGCACTCGTTGCAGGAGCAGCCGTGTCCTCCGCCCCGTGTTTCCTAAGAGCATCTCGTCACAGCTGGGAGTGAGTTTAAGACAGGGCGGGGTGGGGGGGAGAGAAGGCCAGGGTTCCGGCTTGTTAGTGCGCGGAAGGCGACAGCCCGAGAGAGGCGGCCGCAGCCGGGGTAAGGGACGGGGGACTCCAGCCCGCAGGGCACTCGGCTGCGGTGACCGAGACCAGGTTTGCCAGCACAGCTTCTCGTGTGTGGTTTTTCTGTTGATCCTCCATCACCTGAGGCTGTTTTCCCATTGATTTTTAGAGAGAGTGGAGGAGAAAGGGAGAGACAGAGAGAAACATTGATGTGAGAGAGACCCATCGATGGGTTGTCTCCTGCACGTGCCCCGACCAGGGCCCGGGCCAGGGAGGAGCCTGCAACTGAGGTACTACGAGCCCTTGATCGGAATCGAACCTGGGACCCTTCAGTCCACAGGCCAACACTCTGTCCACTGAGCCAAGCTGGCCAGGGCTGTGTGTATGTGTATGTGTGTGTGTGTGTTTGGGGGGGGATGGTGGTTAACTTAAGACAGGTTTGTCTTTTGGGCGGGGCAGTGAGATGAAAAGCGTAAGCTGGGTGGCTGATTTGGTTGAAATAGTCTGCATGTTCCCTTTATCTGCTGCTGCCTGAGGACCCCCGAAGCCCAGTGGCTTCACTGAGACAGCGTTTATTTCCTCAGGACCTGCAGGCCACGTGGTTTGGTTGGACAGGTCCTCCTCTGTTCCACGTGGCGTCACTGGAGGTGCTGAGCGCCTGGGCACGCCAGTTACTCGAAGGCTCTTCACCCCCGTGTCTGGGGGTGACCCTGGTTGTCTGCGGGGCCATCGGATGGGAGTGGGACTGGGGCTGGACCTGTGGCTGTGACTTGTTTTTAATGAATATATGTTTATATATATTTTATCGATCTCAGAGAGGAAGGGAGCGGGAGAGACAGATGGAAACATCCATGATGAGAGAGAATCACTGATCGGCTGCCTCCTGCTCACCCCCTACTGGGGATGGAGCCCTTGACCTGGGCATGTGCCCTGACCGGTAATCGAACCCTGACCTCCTGGCTCAACCACTGAGCCTCGCCGGCCGGGCCCATGTGGCTTTTCCATGTGGCTGCTCCATGTGGCTGCTCCGCCTCCTCACCGCGTGCTGGCTGGTGAGCGTCCCAGTTGGAAAGGAAGGAGGTGTCATGATGGCGCCTCCTGAGCCCTCGGCCCCACTCCTGCCCCGTCCCTTCCTCAGACAGAAGTGAGTCGCTCCGACTGGCCCGGATCCAAAGGCGGGAACTTACTCCACCTCTTGATGGGACCCCCGTCAGAGAGTTTGTGGACGTGTTTTAAAGGGCCACACCACTAATCTGAGATGACCTCTCGTTTTCTCTTACACGTTAACGGACCCATGATAGGGCACAGATTACACATTACAACACGGAGCGATGTTTGTAGCCCTCAGGACCGGCCTGGGAATGTTATTTCATTTTGTTAGCCTTATTCGCTCAGGGAGAAAGTTGTCACTCCTTTTTCAGAGGAAAATAGTGGAGAGCGATGTGACTGGTGCCCATACGCTTCCCATCAGACGGGAGGCAGAGTGGGGGTTATCAGATGCAGATGACATGCTTGCTGGAGGCGGAAGTGAGCGCATCGCATGGCATTCCGCGGCAGGTCTCGTTGGCGCTTGAAACATGCAGACGTCACTTTGGAACGAGGCTGTTACTCACGTGGAGAACTGACGCTGACCCGTCAGCGTGGGGCGGATTTCTGCGGCCTGCGAATAGTTCATTGAGAGTTTAGAATTCTGTAATTCCAACCTGATGTTTGGAAAAGTTGGTGTAGATGAGCCTGGCCAGACCTCCATGCCCGGCACACAATGGCCTCTTGTTCAGTCTCCTCCCGAGAAAGTAAATGTTTGCCGCAGCCCGGTTCACACGCGAGGGGAAATTGAATTAGGGTTCCAAGTCTGCAGCCCTTTCTTCCTCGCATCCAGATCTCTTCCATATGGTGAAATCTTTACAATTTCAGGGGCGCACTTGAAGAGGAAATCTGATATTCCCCTTTTTACAGCGTGAGGGAAGCAGTGAGTGCTGCCCAGCTTTTTTCTGAACTGGTTTCAGTTCTGCCAGGGGAGGTTGCTGGGCTGACGGGAAGTCGGTGTGGTTTCAGTGAGTGAGTGTGTGTCTCCTTGTCAGGTGGGGAACTGAGGAGTCAGAAGCCTTTGAAGGGTTTTACTGGCAGATTTTTAAAAAATATAATGTAGCCGTAACCGGTTTGGCTCAGTGGATAGAGTGTCGGCCTGCGGACTCAAGGGTCCCAGGTTCGATTCCGGTCAGGGGCATGTACCTTGGTTGCGGGCACATCCCCAGTGCGGGGTGTGCAGGAGGCAGCTGGTCGATGTTTCTCATCGATGTTTCTGGCTCTCTGTCCCTCTCCTTACTCTGTAAAAAATCAATAAAATATATTTAAAAAATAATTTATTTTTATTGATTTCAGAGAGGAAGGGAGGGAGAGAGAGAGAGAAAGACATCAATGATGAGAGAGAATCATGGATCGGCTGCCTCCTGCATGCCCCCTACTGGGGATCAAGCCTGCAATCCGGGCATGTGCCCTGACCGGGAATCAAACCCGGGACCTCCAGGTTCATCGGTCGATGCTTAACCACTGAGCTACACCGGCCGGGCCAGCCTCTCTTCTGTTAACTTCTGGGGAGACCAGCTGCTCTCTCGGTGGCACACGTGAATCCCAGCGTGCCTGGGGACCGCTAATCTAGTCCATTTCCCAAAGCTTTGGGCATTTGGTGAGCCTTTTCCTCTGTTGACATAGCCTTACCCTAATTGTCACCTTTCTTCAGACATTTCACTTGACATTGGAAGGTGGAGGGCGTAGGAGAGGGAGGTGGGCATATCGACCCATGTGGGATAAACCTTCCCTCCTCAGGATCCAAAGCCGCTTAAAAGAAAAAAAATAAGAGGCATGGTTTTGTACACGTAGCGACGTACTGTTTGCTCTGAAAGGATAAGCCTTTGTTTGTTTAATTTCGTGGCGCAATCATTCTTCCACTCGTCTTTTGGGCTTCGTCTGTGCTTGGTCCTGCACCTCCCATGTGGTTGGATTCCCACTCGGGCTGCTTGAATCTCCCGGGTTCTCCAGGCCCTTCACAGTGTGGATCGCAGACCAGCCAGAAGGCAGCCTCTTGTCTGAGAAGGGCACTGTCCTGGGAACTCCCAGAGTCTGTGCCGCATACAGTGTGCTGGGTCATGTGATCTCTGTACCCGCATACAGTGCGCTGGGTCACGTGATCTCTGTGCCCGCATACAGTGCGCTGGGTCACGTGATCTCTGTGCCCGCATACAGTGCGCTGGGTCACGTGATCTCTGTGCCCGCATACAGTGCGCTGGGTCACGTGATCTCTGTGCCCGCATACAGTGCGCTGGGTCACGTGATCTCTGTGCCCGCATACAGTGCGCTGGGTCACGTGATCTCTGTGCCCGCATACAGTGCGCTGGGTCATGTGATCTCTGTGGCCCTCCCTCTTCCTTTGGCTGGTTCTCCAGGAACCTCCCCCCTGCCCGTGACCTGGCTTTCCCATCGCCTCTACTTGGCCGTTCTCCATATTGCCTCTGCCCACCCCTCCGTCTGTGGATTGCTCGAGGTGACACCCAGAAAGCCTTCGACAGCCCTGGCCGGTGTGGCTCAGTGGATAGAGCGTCAGCCTTCGGACCAAAGGGTCCTGGGTTCAATTCCCGTCAAGGGCTGGACCTCGGTTGCAGGCTCCTCCCCGGCCCGGGCTGTGATGGGGCACGTGCGGGAGGCAACCCATTGACGTCTCTCTCACATCGATGTCTTTCTCTGTCTCTCCCTCTCTCTTCCACTCTCCCTAAAAATGAATGGAAAAATATCCTCGGGGGAGGATTTAAAAAAAAAAAGAAAGAAAGCCTTAAAGGGGTAGGAACTCCACCCCCTGGAGATCTCTCTGTCCTTGGATTCCCCGAGCGTACGCATGGCTG